TCATTGCAATTGAAGGGATACCCTGCACACGCTCCACCCAGTTGCTTTCGGGGCTGCCAGTGCGCGCAGCCTCCAAACCAAAGCCGAGGTCTTCTCGGAGTCAAACATGGCGCCGCTGTTTCCTTTTAAATCTGCAACTTGGCCAGTAGCATGGGTACCATGCCAAATGTCAATTGTTCAAACATGTTCAAAAGGTCTTTGCATGTAAAATCCTGGCAGGCTATTGCATGTTCGGGCCACAAGTGCACACAAGAAAGTACACAGTCAACAATCCTTTAAAGGATCATTGCCAATTATAGTTCACTGTAACACACCCAATGTGCATTTCAATTGTATCCGTTCTGGTTCCAAATTAAACAAGGGAAGTGAATTTAGACAGCCACTGTCAATCTGGAGTAGCAGGATGGTATGACTGCCTCGGTCCCTGACTTTTCAATTTTTGGTAAACGTAGCCAGGCGAGCCGTCACACTTCTCGAGTCCTGCCTTCACGGCCCACTTGTTTCGTTTCAGCAAAGGCATTGGCCTCGGCAAAGCTGAAGCACAAGAGTGATTTGGCTGATGCTTGCCAGCATGGGGTTTTGCTACAGGCGGCGCAAGTGCCCAAATCGTATTTGATATGAGCAAGCTGTGGTTGAGAAATCATGTGCGACTGTTTTTTTGTCCTGCATGTTTCCTATTGGAAGTAGTAAGCAGTAAAAGTGCAATTCTTTTTGCATCGAACTCGCACGCCCTCTGCGTTGACACGGTTTTCCCAAAATTCAGCTAGCATGCCCATATGAGGTTTACCCCATGCATGCATTTGCCATGTACTCAAAGCATGTTCCAGTAGGACATGCACCCAGACAATGGCAAAGCTAAACTCCCCAGACCCGATCCTCCAGTGAGGCTCCATATATTGATGCCTTTTGAAGTAATGTTGCATGAGTTTCCAACTACAGACGCAAAACCACAGAGCCAGACAGTTCCTTACACTGGAGTACCACCTAAAGCCTGCGAGAGATTAAACTTCGCCACGGACATCCTGTAATTGAACTCGCGGCTTTCTTCAGGGTCGCTCAGGTCGATAGATCCCTGCCCCGCCAACCAAGATGCCTTGGATATATAATCAGTGCCACTTCACGAGCGTGATAAACAAGAAACAAAACAAAACAAAACAAAACAAAACAATAACGACACAAACAAGCCACAAAGATTCTCGCGGCCATGTGGGTGCTGGTCATTCTTGGAGTCCATCGGTCAGCATGACCAGGGAGATCTTGGCCATCTGGTGCCGAGAAGTATGCCACCTGCGGGCTGCCAGGCAAGAGAGGCCATTTGACACCCGTGGCACACCGAGTCCAGTACGGAATCAACTTCACATACTTCCACTCCGGCACAGTGTCATTGAGGTAATTCTTGATATCCACGACTTCTGCATAGGTCTGCTCAACCTCGAGCATCTCCTGGCGGATCCGCTGGATGATCACATCATCCCGAAGAAGTCGGTCCTCAGCAACAGAAGGTCTTGCCCTCGGAGCCCTGGCCCGGCGCTTCGGCTGCGGAGCGCCCTCTTCACCGTCCTCCTCCGCAGGGGCTGCCCTCCTCTTGGCCGCAGCCTTCCTCTTGGCGGCAGCCTTTGCCTTTGGCTGTGGCTCTGCCCCCTCAGGCCCATGCTCACTTTGTGCAGGTGACTCCGCAGCACGAAACAATCTCCGCCTTGGCGTGCGGACTGCCGGATCAGGCAAGCCACCCATACCTGCGACCTCATGAGCAACTTGCCGAGCACTGTTTTGCATCTCCACGCTCACAGCATGTGAGTCCACAGAGTCCTCCCTCTTTGCTTTCTTGCCCGCACGAGCCTTCATGCGAGGAGAGAACTTAGCCATGTAACTGGCTTTGGTCTTTGCCTTGGCCTTGGGCGAGGATTTGGCCTCGGCCTTTCCCCTTGCTTTGGCCTTGCCATTTGATGGCCCTGATGACTCGCCCACAGGTGGCTCTGGCTCTTCCTCATTGGCCCGCTTCTGGGCTGCTCTGCCTTTGGCTTTAGGTGCAACTTCCGCTTTGGCAGCACTCACCTTCGGAGCACGCTTCTTTTCCTGCTTTTCAAGCTCCTTCTCAAACTCCTTGCGCTTCCGCTCAGCTTCCATGTCGTCTTTGAGCTTCAGCTGCTGTCGACGGGTGAGCACCTGCCAGTGTTCAGTTGTACAATGGAAGTTCGAAGGACACGCGATAGAAGGTGGAGTGGCTTTGGCTTATAAGATCTAACAAGCGGTGCACATGATTGGTCAAGTGCATGTATGCAGGATAGTGGACTGGATTGAAAACAGGCAAACAAATTTGTCAGCCTTGGCAAACTGGTGTGCACAGGGAAAAGGAAACAAAACAACGATTTGCTGAAACATTCTGCCTCAGTCCCAGCTTGCCCCAAGCTTGGCTCCATCTCAAAAGGCACCTGTGAGTCCTCGAGGTCTAAATGCATGGTTGCCGCTTGGAAGCCAAACTCGTGCATTGGCTGTGTCTCTTCGGCATCACCGCATGGTAGCTTTGCTGGATGTTGGCCTGCCCGGTTCCCAAACGGAAGTCACAAAATGATACAAAATGATGGGGGTAGGCATGCATATTGTAAAATCATGTTATACAACGATCGTAACGTGCTATTTGCAATGCACTAGGCCGATTGCTATATAAGTTAACGTGCACGTACAACTTGTGTGCCACGCCTGCAGGTGTGGTACCAGGTGAGTCAAGACTTACCGCGGTGGCCTCCTTGTTGAGCCGTAGCCTAGGCGAATTGACTTGTTTCCCGCTACATGCCACATGTTCAGACCTTTCCGATGCACAATGGACGTTCCGCCAAGGAACATCACCTCCGTCTTCTTTTGGATGATGCGCTCCTTGAGTGCAGCAATGGCAGCGCACTGACCTTGCAGTGGCATGCAAACATGTTGCTTGGAACAAAAAGTCATTCATTTGAGCTCGCTCGAATACTTCATGGGGTCAGTATATAGGGAAAATGTACCGCATATGCAAATCCATGCAACATGAACTTACCTTCTTGCAAACTGCACAAGGCAAGGTAGCACGGGATGACTCGAGATCCATCTTTGAAGGTGGAGGCGGTGGAGGGTGCATAGATGCAGGTCCAGCGGTTTCAGGGGCTGGAAGGGCTGGAAGTGGTGAGGAACCAGGAGGAGGTTGGTCAAAAGTGGCGAGCCAACTAGCGAACTCCTGATAATCTTGCTGCGTTTCCGGATCCTCATCGTTCCACTCATCCTCAACCAAGGTTGATGATCCAGAAGGACCGCTGGATGGCTGACGGGTCAGCATGTACTCGTCGATGGTCTCCTGCCAATAACAAACCAGTGGGCATGTTTGTGGGTATTTCAATCCCCCCCCCGAAGGACCAACATACGCATGAAATGAAAAGGTTGCACCAATTGTTACCTAGTGCGTCGCTTACTATATACTTTGAGGGTGAAACTGAATTACCTGGGACATCTCTTGACCAATCTCTCCTTAATTGACGGATCGAGTGAGCAATGGATGAAAGGCCTGCAGGGCACAAAAGATCAGGAGGAAAGGAAAGGGGAATAAAGATACAGAGACCACTTCACAGAACCCAAGAAGTCATTGAGAGAAAGTATAATCAGTCCACGTCTTAGAATATAATACAGGTTCCACTTTACTTTTTGCGTGACACAAGTTTTAGAACCCCTCACCTTGGTGACCTCACGGTGGTTCACACGCCTTTTGATGAATCCCAACATCTTCTTGATCTCAATCGCGGCTTTGTAGATAACTTTACCCCCGGGAGTCTGTCTCATGGCCGAGTAGAGCTTACCAAGCTCATCCTCAAGAAAACGCAAGTGGGGGAGATGATAGCTATCAACTCCACTCAGCATCTCCAGGGCAGGCAAGATCACAGAAGCATTGGCCTTGGCATTTTCACGGTTAGGCTGGCACCATGTCTCCGTTGTAGGGTGTTGCATCAGCTTGTTCGCCGATAGCAGTCGGCGTCGGATGACATGATCCTGCTCCCACTTCGCAGCTAGACCATCACACTGCATGGCCATGCTCGCTCACACCCCTGTGCGCAGGGATGCTCAAACCTGTGAGCCTCAAAATGCACTAAAAACATCAATCGATATCAAATCAAACCCGGTATACACACCAGGGATTCAAAAGTCCCTCTACCAACCGTGCCCCCTCGAAGGAGCCAAGCGGTGCTAGCTGCTGTACCTGACTGCTCTTGCTCAGAGAAAATATGAGATGAGGTCCCGGCCCTGTGGTAGAGCCATCATCCACGTGGAAGACGTGCCAGCGACATGCGGGGATGGGAGCCGATCGGTTCAAGCTGACTTGGATGGGTAAAGTCTGGGTTCCAGGGTTTTTGTGACCTCAAAACCATGATTATAGTTGACTCCCATCCACCAGCGGGAATTGTTGTTGCACGTCCATGATGGTTTACTTCTGATTCGATCATGGTTGCAGCTCTTGAACCTCGGCCCCCAAGCACTTCAAACTCGTGCAATCTTCAGAAAAACCAGGTATTTGCAAAAACCAGGTTTTTTTCTGAAAACCAGGTTTTCCTGATTGGTCAAGAGATTTCCCAGGTATTTCAGTTTCACCCTAAAAAAAAAGTAGGTAAGCGACGCACCAGGTATGTGTGTGTGAGTGTCGTGTTTGCGTGGTGTTCCAAGTCGGTCAATTTGCGGGAATTGGGGATGGCTTCTAGAAAAAACATTCTCCAAAAGTGCATCCAACCAGCCCCCAATCAGACTGCCACACAAAGAAGCTGACTAGTGACTAGTGTGCACATTGGAACATATTGGACCTTTGTGGATCCTTTGTCAGGGGTGTACCACCATTGGGGTGATACTCTACAGTAGAATATATTAGTATATATCTGTATATATCTTAATGATATGTCAGGTGGTGGTAGTTCGAAAGCCGTCCTGAATATTTTGGGCTTTAGCCTTCCCGGTCTGCTCAGATTTTGGGACGCTGAAACCCCGCGTGCCTGAATTTCGCCCGCGGCGACTTCGGCTTCACCTGACGTTGATCCAGGTCAGTGCCATTGCTTCATGGTCCAAAAGAGGGAGTGGTGACCACACTGCAGCGGCACAAAGGATCTACATCGTTTGCAGTTTGCTAAGTTGAGCAATATATGTGCGTGAACATATATATATGTATATATATATATGTTTTGTTTATTTGATTTTATTTATCTGCATATATATATATATAACACTTAACTCTCGGTTGACACTCTTGCTTGGCACTAGGGTGAGGTGCAACTTGACAACGTTGGATTTGCTGATAGTTGTATCTTATAGGCCCACGGGCTGGACAACCAAAGGACCAGGTCTCAAAAGTATATTGTTGCAGGGGCACTGCAGCATTAACTTGGATCACTCCTTCGTGCAAAGCTACTCTATATCAATTCTTGTCACAGTGCATGCGCAACCCAACAAAAAAAAAGGGGGCTTCTGGCTCCGCTACTAGTCTTTTGGTATCTGCCATATCCACTCATCAATCATCGCCATCGCGGCCATCGCTCCGCGTCGTCATGGCATGGATCCTGTGGTCTCGCACGCGCTTCCTCAATGGCCTTCTGGAGGGCCTATGGCTGTTGCCAAGCACTTAGCGACAAGTCATCCGTTTGTAAGGGCAGGAAACTCTCAAACCTTTTTTTGGCGAGTTGCACGTGATGGTGCAACTCGCACAGTCCAGAATCTCTTAGTTTATAAAAGTGCACGCCAAGAACTACATTCTGTGCTACATCTGTCACCTTACTCCCAATACGAGTATGCAGGACTGCAGGACTGCACGTTGCTTGAGAGGTCCGGAACCAGGCCACCCTGGCACTCGGGTTCTGGCTCTTCGCGGCCTTCAATGGGGCGACACCAGCCACTCGGGAGGTTCGATGAATGGGCTTTAAGGGAAACATCGACCGGAAACCATGGTCTTCACAGGCTTTCCCTTCAATTCATTCAGAGGTGGTCATCTGAAGTGATCCCACAACACGCGACGACTCACGCCAAGCTAAGGAAACTATTAATAAAGGCAGTGGAACTCATGGGAATTTGCTTCGATCAGTCAAAGGACTGTTGGGCAATATATAACCATAATTGTTCCGCCGATGTGGAGGATCAGGAGGGACTCTCTACATCGCTTACTACCAAAAAAAAGTGTGGATCCTGTCCTCCAATCAGCGGCCGCAGCCGGATGAGGAACCGCAGGGGTCGTCGGACGACGAGAAACGTCACGACGGCCACTGGATCGCTTCGGGGCGGTCGGGACGGATGGAAGCTCCGCCGGCTCTGGGCGCCCCAAGCGCCCTTCAGCATCAGAAGGGCCTCGGCCCCAGCGGGGTGCTCGGGTGGCCATGCACAAGGAGCATGGAACAGATATATAACGGTTGTGAAGATAAGAGAGGTGGGGAGATTAGGCAATAGGAGAGTTGACAGGGTCAACTCTCTCACTACACATAAATTGTAGGAATGTCCACTGACAAAGCTTCTGCGTAAGGAAGGGCTCAAGCTGATTCTTAGATGCCTTGCCCTTTCTCATTCAAGAAGCGTTCAACTCGGGACCCTGCGGCTCTATAGCGTAACCAGTCTTAACCTTCTGCGGTCTTTGTGTTTCCGAGTCAAGCCCTGCAGCGTCTGAGTCAACATTGCTCATGATCAATCGGAAGAGCCCTGCTTGCCGAGATGAGACAGAATGGGAACCCTGCATGGCATGGCCAGTCACGGCCAGTGGAACAACACCATGTTAGAAACGCTGTGGGATGACCGGTGGCTCTTTGCACTTTGCACTAATCGAAGAACAAGTCAAAACAACTCATCGCTAAAGACAGGTGACATGGGCACCCGTGGACAGGTGTCAACATTCTCATTGAGAGGTAGGTGCTTTCCTTCTGGGTGCTGTGATCGTTTGGTGGAGTGCTGCGTGGCCCGCAAAACACTTGGACAACAAACAAACCCCCTTCCAAACATATTTTGGACATCCTCTCTATCTGCGCGAGCTCGTCGGATAGGGCTTGTTGGCTCATTGGTAGCATGTGTGCCCTTGGCAGATCTTGGTGGTAAAGGATACAAAATTGTCAAACAACGAAGTCCTGCACATCACACTCTCTCTCTCTCTCTCCCACACTAACAACCCAACTGACGCGGGCTTTGAAGATGATTACATCACAAAAATCCCAAGATTGAGGGGTTCCAACCATTGAATTAGGGAATGGCGCAGAATAATCGATTTGTTCATCCTGCTGCCCATTTCTGCATCAATCCTTTCCGCAAAAGCCCGCACGTACATCCCACTCCAAGAGACAGCTTCCTTGGCCCCCCGGGCACGTTCGTGCCGCTCTGCCTTCAGGCGCTCAGCAAGGGCCGCCTGAGAGAAAAAACACACATTCTTTGAGCACAAGAAAGTCCTCGGTCCTCCAGCACGTCTGGCTCCACTCTCACTCAGGGTCTTCTCTATAGTCTCTAGTCTTCAAGAGTCGTCCGGATCGTTCGTTTGGGACGCTTCGCTGCCAGCTTCTGGGGCGCTATCTTGGTGAGAATGCATGTGCACCAAAGCCAATGCAGTAGACATCTAGTACACACACACATATATATATATATACAATATACATATACACAGTATTCATTAATCGAATGAATAAGACGGGATGTTGCGAGGCACTCGGTGAGCAATCAGATATCAATGTTTTAAAACAACAAGGCTGTCCCCGAAGCTCTCATTGCACTGGAAACTCGCGGGAATTGAGCTGGCGCTGCTTCTTGGACGGGGAGAATCACAGCACGAACCCCAAAAGTGTAACAACAAAGCTACAGAACGCCAACTGATGGTGGGAGCCTGAATAGCTCGGGCAGGGCGCTTTCGACATTTTCTGGAGTCTTGAGGGTCTTGGCTGAAGCAAACTTCAAATCAATCACGGGATTGGTTCCCCTATTTCACCACTGTTGGGTGAGGATGCATCTGTCCTCTCAGAGGAGAAAATTGGCAGCCGGTTGCGCATGTGAACTCTGTCCTCGGTTGCCGATGCGTGGAAAACGGCGCACGGAGAGAAAAGCACCAAAGCTTCATCCCTTGAAGGCAGCGGTTGTTCCACTCCATCTGACAGAGCCAAGGGTCAATCTCCCACATCAACTTCTCAGGCAAGGCATCTGGCTTGGCCATGGCACGCATATCTTCCTCCAGTTGTTCCATGGAGGTGTGTCCTACCAACCTGAAGATCGGTGGGACAGGGACACGGCGATTGCGGGCAAGACGGAACGAACCTTCTCCAGGGCCAGCATTCTGTGGTCTCTCATAGCTTTGTGCGATTATGAAGTTGGCAGGTTGCGCAAAAAACAGCCCATAAATGACACCGGGGGGATGTTGCTGATGTTCCAGCCCCACCTTCGTAGAAAAAACCTTCAGCAGCTACAACGATCAGGCGTTCAGCGGGTTTGAAACTAGAATCTGACATAAGACTGCTTCCTGCTGAAGCAGTGCTCAAGAAGTTCCACAACTTCTTGTGTAGTTTGACCAATGAAGTTCGACAAGCCTTCCAGGCCATTAGAATGCGATCCAAACCACGGTTTGTGATCTTTTCTCTCTCTCTCTCTCTCGCGAGTGTGACCGCCCTGATGTTCATTGAATTCCGAGGTCCCTTTGGTTCCCCCACTTTTGGATATGATCTTGTTCTTCTTGTCGTTCTTGCTGTTGTTGTTGCCGTTGCTGTTGTTGTTCTAGCTGTTCTTCCTGTTGTTATTGCTGCTCTTGTTCTTCTTGTTGTTGCTGTTGCTGTTGTTGCTGTTGTTGCTGTTGCTGTTGTTGCTGTTGCTGTTGTTGCTGTTGCTGTTGTTCTTGCTGTTATTGTTATTGTTCTTGCTGCTGCTGGTGGTGGTAATTGTTAATTATACATGTCATGTGTATATATATATAACTATTTCAACAAAATCTGACGTCAAGCATGAATCTGCCCCCGGGGAACAAAGTCCAACTTATAGATTGGTCAATTTAGATTGCGTGTCTATCACCTACTACCATATTTTATTTTAACAATATATGTCCGTGCCCTCCACTCTGAATCTGCCCTGCATTTCCCGAAACATAACATCGACTTGATGATGTCTCCATCTTAGACTGTCGAAGCTAAGGCTCGCCTTGTGGCCACCGAACCACCAAACCCCACCCATCGCGCCCATCAAGCCCTTCCCATCGCCAAAGCCACGCGGTGGTCATCCCACCCCGCTGCTTGGCCCAGCGCAGCGCCAGCTCCGTCAAGGGGATCTTCTGTTCCTTCGCCAGCGCCGCGTAGCGCTTGGTGGCGTCCAGCGCGGCAGCGGAGCGGTAGCGGTACAAGGTGGGGCCCCACGAGAGGTCGTCCATACGACCCCTGGGGCTGGTGGTCCTGGGGGCATCAGAGAAAGCATTGAAACTTCCGGGCGCCTCGTGGTTTCGGATTTCGCTTCTGGAACCCGGTGGGAGGACAAGACAAAGATCTTGACACCTGCAGACTGCAGATCGGTCAACTCAACTACCCCTCCTGGCAAAGCTGGCCATGGGGTTTGGCTCATCGGGGGCGGCCGGAGCGTCCAGGTACTTGCCGGTGAGCACTCCACCAGCTAAAACGTTGTAGGCCATGAAGCCTACATCTTCGTTGTAGGGAGAGCACATCTCCTCAGGCTGCATGGGTCCACAAATCCGGCAGTTTGGGGATGTTGTGGGGATCCACTTGGGGCATCAGCGGCATCAGCATGATGCATGATGGTCCGTCATGCATTCCGGTATGTCGGACGCTCGGTTGGCTGGCATCTGGCATTAGCGGGTTCATCCAGCTCTAGGCGTTGAATTTGGCTCTTTCTCAGCAGGGCCGAACATACCGCCAACACCAAAACCATCCATGTTGCCAAAACACAGAAACCTGCCCCATGCACAAGATGTTGTGTGAAGGCCAACTACTGCTCACGACGAGCTGGAGTTGCATCTTTACCTGGCTTGGGTCCATGTAAGACATTGCAAAACCATGCCCATGCAGGCCACCAGGCCCTATCTTAAATTTGGTGCCTTTACTTGTTGGATCCTCACTGCAAAACACAAAATTACTTTACTTCGAGTGATTAATTACTTCACTGCAAAACCCTCACCTGACAGGTGGGGAAAAAAAAATGATAGAAAGGAAACTGCCGCGGCTCAGTCGCTCCCTTTTTGTCTCCGCAGAGAGAGGGTCGAGCTGCGACTGGGCCGTCAAATTGGCGGTTGCGTCTCATGTCGCTGAGGCTTGGGTGGTGAACAAATGAATATATAAAGGCTTCATGTGATCCAACAACAACTAATCACATGGAATCGACCTCATAATTAAACTGACCTTTTTCTTCACCCACTCTGGGACTCCACCCCCCCAGGGCACTCCCGGTGCAGAAGAGTTTCAAAGAGACCATTTTCTTCACCTCAGGTCTGGCTATGTCTAGCTTGGAGCACAGAAGAGATACAGGGCGCGTATGGAAGCGTTGCCAAGTGCTAGACCTGCCATTAAATGGCCAAATCAGGCCAAAACTCGCTGAGTATATACCTGAAACGAGTACTTACCCTCCCCCCCAACATGCGAACATGTGCCAACTCCGCTCCACGTCTCAGCGACATCTTCGATTCAAGATGGAGTAGTCGTTCTGAAAGACACAGGGCGGCGTGGCACCCATGGCTTTGGCCGTGGCCACAAGGCGTGTGGCGCCATAGGGGCTCTCATTGCAGCAGCCCCAGCCACGGATCTTGCCTTGTTTCACCTGGATTTGGTGGACGATTTCGTCATGTGGATGGTAAAACCTCTTCACGGGGGATCTTGATGAATCAAGGGTCTACATTATTAACATTTATTGACTAAATGCGAAGAAGCCACAAACACTGTTTTTGTCCCCAGCCGTGCCCTGCAACGAGACTAGTCTTCTTGAACAAAAACTCCTGCAACTAATTCGTTGTACGGCTCCCCTGCCCCTGCCCGGTTAGCTCCTTTAACATCTTTCTCCTGCAACCCCACGAACACCTGGGACCTGGTTCACTTCGGTCCTTCCTTCGCCAAGGGCAAGAACCATGACATGGTTCTATGCTGCGAAGGAAGCGACGGGTTGAGGGATCGACGCACCGGGCGAATCTGCCAACGAGGCACCAACTTGTCCATGGCTTGGACCACCTCCTCAAAGGTGGCCTGCCCTTCACGTCGCGCAATCTTCTCCAAAGTGGGGCGGTACTGGAGCGATTGACCCCAATTCCTGAGTGCTGGTGGATCAGTTCATGTTGCTTTGTTGTGGGTGGGGGGTCTAGAGAAAACCAACCTTGTTGCGTCGTCCTTATGCTGCCCCGCACAGGTGGTGCAACGTCTGGTTTGTTTCCAGGCGCCAAGAAAATCATTCAAATGAGATCTTGATCATAGTAGTTTCTGCTGCGGCTGGGACATGCGAAAAGACCAGTGTGTCAGATAAAGGTCCACATGGTCAAATTGCAACCTTCCAGGGTTGGCACAAAGGAGCCTCTCTCGCTAGCAGCATCAGATCCTGACCCCACTAGTAGGGTTGGATCAACAAAATCTACTTTGATTCACACACACATCTTCACACCATTGAATTTCACCTAATTATTTCACCATCATTTGTGCCCTCCCGCCTTTTCAAAGAGGCGTCCAAATCATCTCGGATGTTTTGAGCATTCACATTCAACCCTCCAGTGATCTTGGTGGAGACCACGATCTTATCTCGTCGCGTCTTGTCTTTGGCGACCCACTTGCCGATGATCTCTTCCGTCAGCCCCTCCGGCCGCAAAGCATCCGAGGGGATGGGATATTGCTCGGCGGTGTCGACCAAGTTCACCCCGCCTTCCTGGGCGACCGCCGAAAAAGAAAGGTGCCGAAACACACCAAGCAATGGTGGACTTTTGGGAGGTCTGAAGTGGACTTGCTGGAGCAGGGGCGTGGTGCAAGTGAGCATCCTACAAAGTTTCCAGAGTGGGGCAGGAGTCACCTGTCGGCCGGCAAAAACCCTCTCGGCTGACACTGCCTCCGGGCTTCCAAAATGGCCCGGTCCATCATCCGATGACAAAGCGCTTCATCTGGTCCATTGAAATCTGCACTGCCCCAACCTCGGGATGTGACGCTCGGGAACCTTCTGCATCATTGCATCTGGCTTCTTATAGCTCTTCCGTTGTCTTTGTATTCTGTGGGGGGGGTGAACATCTCACCTTCTCAGCCTTAAAATTTCGATTACTAGAAACCAACCATTTGGTTTCTAAAACCTCTAATTATATCATATATAGACTATAATTTATCTGGGGTGTGATTCAATATGATGCAGATTCGGATAATAAGGTGTTTAGCTTTTTCAAGAGGAAAAAACAAAAGCTTCTTCATCCCCGTCTGAATGGGCTGGCGGACCTCGCGAACCGTCCGTCCCCATCGCTTCCTTCGCTGCCTCCCAGGGCACGCTGCGTGCCGAGGCCCATCTCGGAGACGTAGAGATCGCTGAAGCCCAGCTTCTTCCGCCGGATGCCTTGCACCACCTGGACCTGCACCAGACGAATCCGGTGCTGTGCGTGGAGGTGTGTGTGTGTGTGTTTTTTCTCCTCGGAAGGGCTAGAGTTAGAGCCCTGTGGTGTAGAACAGCTTCTGTTTACCTGGTTTACCTGCTTCAGTGCGTTTTTAACTTGGGGAGTAAGAGGGGGTCTTTTTGTGACATAGACCTTTCCTATCCATTCCTTCTCAGCTGGTGACCCACTGGTGTATTCTTAGAAAGCACCGGACCTCACCTGCCGTGTTACGTAACAATGATGCTATCTTCAATGGTTGGTGGATTTTGCCGGTGTGATCAGAGTTTCACTTGGCTTAGCTTCTGATTTCGCTGCGGCCGTGCCTCTGCCTTAGCACCCTTGGCGCCAGCGGCGGTGGTGGCAGCACCCGCCAGCGCAGCGGTGCGCCAGAAGGTGCTCCTGAATCGAGCAGTCTTCGCACACGAACAGCCTGGCAGCACTACTACTCAAACACTCCAATCGACCAACTTGTATGTAGTATAGTAACAGTATTAAAATAGTTGACCCTTGATCGCTAAACCCCCCACTTGCATGGTCAAACATCTCGATATCACATTTTAAGTCACGAAACCCTTGCCAAGGAGTTTGACTGGCGCTGACTGGACCTTTAATCGTTTTAATGATGGAAAAGGATAGAACTTGTGATAATTCTGCAGTCTGAAACATGCCCCTCACACAAGCCAGCAAGCTGAAGAAAAGGGTTGTCTGCTGTGATGAGTCAAGAACCCTGATTTCAGTAATGAGTAAGAACCATGATTACTCATTGTTCATTGCCGTCTATAACCACCGGAAAAGCACAACAGCAGCTCTTGTCGCTCTTGTATTATCATAATTCATTACTCAGTGCCGTCTATAAAGGAGCTGCTGTCGTTGTATTATTATAAACCAAAGAGGAGAAAAAAAAAAAGCACAACGACAGCAGCTCCTTTATACCGGGGTTCGGCCAATATCACATGTTCACGTGGACACTGGTAGTGCCGCGTTAAAGAGTCCCTCACCTCTCAAATGTCCAACAAATTGGAGCCCTGCTACAATTCCCTCCCCATGTGCTCCTGCTGGTTGACGCCCTCGCCACGCGCGCCACACGTCTTGCTCCGTGCGCGATCGCAGCACTCGCAGTTAGCAGCACCGGTGCACGCGCCGCGCTCAGCTGTCGGCCTGAAGGTGCTGCACTGGCGCCAGCGCCGGTGACCGGCGCCAAAGAGGGAGCTAGAATCATGGGCGTTTTGCGGGCGCCTCAATTTGGCGTTCCAAAGTCTAACTGATCGGCGAAGCCAAAAGGCTCAAGGTCAAATCAACGAGTTGAAGTGCCCAACTGGCAAAACACGTACAAAACAAGTGAGGACGCCAATTGACTCTTGCCCCTTGACTGTTGACCCTTTCGACAGCTGCTACGTCTTCCGCCTTCAACCGCTCGTTGAAGCTGCTCTCCGCCTGACATGCTGATTTCCGCCTGACGTGTGAGAACCTATTGGATCAGCATCACTGGTCCCCTAGCAGCCCTACCACCAGTGAGACTTGTTGATGAACGACACCTGATGTTAACCCTCGAAATCGCACTGATTTCAGTAGGGCTGCTCTGTCCGAACCAGCCCCTGGAATTCTTGAGATTCCTGGCCACAGTCTCCCAAGAACGCACCCCTGACTCGCAAAGCAGGGTGCCAGTCTGGCAAATTAGGTGCCCAACAGCTAAACTTTCGAACAAAATCTTGAGAGAAACAGTGATGATTTGCCGAATCAACCCTGCCAGCCTCCGCGATGTCAGCCTCACTGACACCTGCCTGCTTTGCCAAGAAAATGGATGCCTGCCAGGCCGTCAAAGCCCCCCTACCATTTTCCCTCCTAAAGACCATGTCCTGATTCTTGGAGAAGGAAGTGGCGCCCAGCCAGTGAACCAAGGAACGTGTCTAGGATGAAGCAATTCAGATCTTCGGGTGTTGTCTTGCGTTCGCCCCTCTTCTCTTACCAATTCATTCGGTGGATCCTTGCAAAATCAACACCATGTTTAAACAACATCGCAACAAGTCGCCCAGCTTTCACCCGCTTTCCCAAGCTCACTGGCCCGGGATGCACAATAGGGCGACGCATCGGGCGCCTGCAAGACGGAGTCGTCGTCGCCACTGGCAGCGACCTGCGTTGTTTCATTTTCGTTGCCAGGAGATGCGGAAGGACCAGGCCCGCTGGCAACTGATTGGCGCTTAGTTACAGCTCCAACTACTTACTTATAGTGAACATGTGTGTGCGCGCGAACATGATTCTTAAGCTGGCTTGTAACACCACTTCTGCAAGTGAGTTCTAACAGGTTCTATCAACAGGGCCTATCAATGGCCAACGGTCAACCAAGAGCCAAGTTCGCCTCTGCAATTCCCCTCGGCCTTCAGCTCCCGTAGGGAGACCAAGCGTCGCAAGGTGTCCTCGCATCCGCAAGTTCTCTCTCTCTCTCTCTCCCCCTCTCTCTCGCCACAACATACGTGTTTGAAAAGGTACCAACCTGAGGACCTTGGTACCTGAGGACCTCATGCAACCTGAGGACCTCATGTGTTGAACGCCCACACTTGCGCGGGCCTGCTCATATCGCCGTGCATGGTGGACTGGCAACTGCTTAGAAACGCCAAGGTTCAATGATGTTCACCAGCACATTGCAGGAACTGTGAATTTTGTTTTGGGGGGGTGCTTCCTGATGGGCCTTCTCCAAGGGTTCCCCCCGTGTTCTTTTCCAAACAATCTGAAAAGAACAGCATCTGCCCTTGTCGGGATGGTTATCGGTCCTCTGCTTCTTCCACTGTGCTGTTCATGATGCCAGCATCATGTGCCTCGAAAGGCCGCAACATATGACATATCCGTCCAGCCACTCAAAAATCCCCAATCGCATGCGCTGTTGGGGTGAGCTCACCATCCATCGAGTGAAAAAGCAATGGAAAGCAAATGTTTGCTGGTGAATTTCCACAGAGACGATCGAAAGTTGTCCAAATGGGGTTGAATCCCACAAATCTCTCGACATATTGCATTGGACTCACCAAACATGTGCAATAGTAGCATACACATATATATAGAGAGAATCACGTCAATTCACGAACCACTGCACCCCGCTTCGTGGACAGTTCCTTACCACCACACCGATGGAGAACGGAGGCATGTGCACCCACGAAGGAGGCCGGTTTTCTGCCTGAAGGAGGGCGGCTTCTAAAGCTTCCTCCTCTGCCTTGCTGATCGCTTCTGACAAGGCCCGTGCCTCCGGTGCCAGCGCGAAACCACCAACGCTGACTATATACAGCTGAGGCAGCCAAAGGCTGATTAGACTGGAGAAACCTCCAAACTGTGATTAGCCTGGAACCTTGTATCTTTCACCATCTTACACACTGGCACAACATGGCATAACTGTATTGTACACCTACAATGCGTGATGAGTCTGCTTAACGCCATCATGTGCCGAGGTGCCGCATCCAAGGCTTTCCGCTTGGCCGTGGCCGCATCTGTGCCGCCGCCTTTGGCGGCCACCTGAGGCCGCTGGTGCATGCGCTGGTGCCGCATCTTGAAGTAGTGAAAATATGGATTCATCTTGCAATAGGTGAAGCTGATAGATGGACACGGTGCCGCATCAAACTTGCCAGAACGGACTGGAATCAAATTGACAACCTTGACACGAGTTCCCAAAGACTTCCAAGAACAGAAAGCGTCGCATCCCAAATCCCAAAACGACCTCTCCAATAGAATTGGCATCTCCGGGCCAATCTCAAGAGCCTTTTCCCCGGCCCAGATTGGGCTCGAAGAAATCGGAGTGCTGCGCTGCCAGGCGCTCTGGGAGTTTCCACTTTTCACTGGGGCTGCCGTATCGCTGTGAGTCGACCTCCCTGGAGCCCGTTTGACCCTTGGTAGCTTGACCTCCCTCGTAGATCTCGTAGTCTAGTCAACCAATTTCCACGGTTTTGACCTACAGCCATATCATCTGGGTGAGTCCCTTGCAAATGAGAAAATGGACCCCTGTAAGATCATGTAAGAGTATTCTCATGTTGATCATGGTGCACTCTGACTCGCTAACAAGGCAATGGAAAGAATAACCAAAAAGGAAGGTAGTCTTTCAAATGCCCATTTGCCACTTCCATGTTAGTCACTCAGAGTGTAATCTACAGGATGGTTCGGTTGACATTGTTTCACCATCTCTCAGGTCGGCACCGAGACGTTTCTGTGTTGTTCATGACATGTTGGTGACCAATCACTCAGTAGAAGGCACCACTGGCCATGCCCATCAACCTGCTGCATTTCTCCTGTCCAGGAGGCCTCTGCCCTTTCATTCCGGAACCCGAGCTGAGTTCCCCAGCGGAGACGCGGGGCAATTTTGCCTCAGTGCTGAAGTTCCTATCAAGCTCCCATGATGCATCCTTCACATTGAGGATCCCGAGCTTTGGGATCCATGACTTCATCCACCGCCCAAGCTTTCTGGGTAGCTCGCAGCTTCTTGGCTGTCTCAAATGGTCTCAATATCATTGAACATGAACACGAACAACTATATACCCCAAAAACTGACATAATAAATCAACACAAACAACTAACCATGGCCAAAAACCTCATCGACATATAGCATAATCACGGAAATAATATTAGATTATTAGATAAGATATGATATATATATAATATATATATAGGATTGTTTGGGGTTTGTTATGTTTCATTCCTTGTTCAAACACTTTTTGCCTCACACTCCTGGTTTTAGTCGATCCAGCCACCCGCCGAGCTCACTCGTCCCAGCCACTGCCGCCGGCCGATTCCGCGCGAACTCGTCGCGGAGCATGGTGACCTGCACGGGCCCCTTGCGGCCTTGCGGGAAGTGGAGTACTATATTACCCGAAATGTCAAGAAACAAAGAAGTAGAGAAGAGACCTGTATATATAGAGAGAGAGAGATTGAATTAGATTGATATAGATTGTGAATAGTACAGGATAATATACAGTAACAGTACTGTATAATTATGGGTAGATCAGTCAGGAAGCCTCTTCCAAGAGGTCAGGCCGTGTAGCTTGATAGTCTTGAATTCAAGAAACTGCTGAAGGACAATTCTACCTGGGGTGAGTGTATCGTTTATGCTTATCCTGGGAGAAATATGCCCCAAGTTCCACAAAGATCTCCCCATCCGTTCTTTTTTGTACTATTCATGATTTCTTTCGCTCGCTTCGAAAGAGCCAATCTTCAATCAAGACAAAGTCCAAATCCTCAAGCTCATCTAGCATCTTGAGGCATTCCTTCACTGTGTTGACAATGGGTTTGCCCTTGGAGTTGAAGCTGGTATTGATCAGTGCCGCCAAACCAATCCTCTTCCCCACGGCCAGCAGCAAACTGTGAATCCAGGGCTCCTCCTCCGCACTAACGGACTGATGTCGTGCCGTGCCGTCCACGTGCGCCAGTCCAGGAAAGTGCTCTCGGACATGAGGCCGCACCAAAGGAGCCATCGTCATGAAGGGACTTTTGATCTCTTGGCCGAAGACCTCCTGAGAACGAACGGGTGAACTATGCCAAACAATATGTTGTGGCAGTTGTGGCAGATGATCCTCCAGCAAACAGCTTTACAGTAAGATCCTTTACAGTAAGTTATTCATGCAACAAAAAACCGTGAGGGCGCAAACGAAGTCCAACAAATGTCCGCTGGAGGGTACTATAGCTGCTATGGGGTATTGTGTTAGATTGTCTTGGCATGTGTGATTCTTCTCATTTCATGCCAGGTCCTCCAAAGCTTCATCTGCAATCATCGGTGCTACGGGTCGATAGAACTGCCTGGCTTTCAGCGTGTTCATGCGATCCCGGATGCTCTGAGAATTGGGCGCTGCCAGTAAGGAACGATGTCCCAAGGCTCTGGGCCCGAACTCTTGCCTCCCCAAAACCACCGCAATGATGGGTTTATCACGGCCCTCCTGGCCCTGAGAGCGGCTTTGGTTTTGCCACGCCGGGCCGCCGGCCAAGAGGTCGGCCAAATAGTCCACACCTCCCAGCTCCGAGAGGCGCTCGGCCTGTCGACGGGTGGCCGTGGAGTCCAAGGTGTCGAGGTCAAAGAGACGAAAGCCCAGGTACTGCAAAGGCTGTGGCGACAAAGGGGGCACCACTGACCAAAGGGCACCCACCACAATGCCACCGTCATTGCTTGCAGGTGGCATGTAGACCGAACTTGGGAGGCTCAGATCGAGCTGGTGTGTTTGGGTGAATGTGTCATAAATCAGCTGGTTGGCTAGCACGTTCAAAGCACAGCCTCCTGTAAGGACAATGCCTTCCACGGCCTGTCCCAGGAGACCCATTGAGCCGTAGAGGGCCTTGCCGAAATATTCTTTCACCAAGTCCGTCCACTCTGCCTGCGCGGAAGCGGCCAAAACTCTCTGGCTCTCAGTGCCTTCGCATGCGAAGTGACGGAGCCAAGCAAAAGCCTCGTCTGCAGCCGTTTGGTTCTGAAGGTAGTTGCGCACAAATTGGCTCGCCCAATGGCTGCTTTGTGGGTCGCTTTTCCCCAGCGCCGAATATCCCATAAACTTTCCGGCATAGCTTAGCATCACTCGACTCACGTCATGCACGGTGTGCGGAACTCCATGCATTGCTGCCACCATTTTCGGGAGGTTGAGTGGTGTGATCTCCTCGCTTCCGCAAACGACCTCGGAGTAGTGCTTTGCTCCGGTGACCTCTGGGAGTAAAACAGCCAGCTGATTGTATGCCATCCCCATATTCGTTGGTATTTTCGCAACCAATTTGACGTCATATCCAAGGCCAACGTAAAAATTGAAGAAACCATCATTTCCACCGGCATCGTAAGACATAATAAAGGCTGAACGGAAGGTCGAAGCATAGTAGCCCAGCAGGGCATGGGCACGGTGATGGTTCACCAAACGCCACTTTGTGGCCCCAATGACTGGCTCCACTGCACGTTTCAGCATTTGGAATTCATGATGCTCAAAATTCTCCAAGACTGCATAGTGAAAACTTCCAGGACACTTCTCCTCAGCATCGCACTCGCAACCGCTCAGAACGGCGTCCAGTGCGAACAACCAAGCTTGGGCAAAATCTGCTTCACTCATGTCCAGAGTCATGCCGCCCCCCTAAGGAGTAGTACCGCACCTCAAACAAACGTTCCAACTCAAGCACGCACTGCACCCGACCTGCCACCCCAATGGCAATACTGGCATCATGTCCTGCATGGAAAGCAATGACTGCAGGGCGACTGATTGGAGGCTCATGGTCCTGCGACAAGAACTTGGCCAGATCATCGGACATTGAAGCGCTCTCCGAATCGCCCGGGTGAAATAGAAGCCCTTTCTGTGGGGCCCAGAGTCTGGGTATGCCATTCTCATCCACTGTGTAATCGTACTGTGCTGAGGAATTTAGCACCAGGAGCACGAATAGAAAAAGAACCCTGCCAAGTCCATGACAGAGACTCTCCATGGCAGTTGCCAAGGCTTTTGTATTGTAAGGAGTGTGGTGGCTCATTCATATGGGGAGAGATTTGATCTGCACTCATCAAGAAATCTTAGTGCGTTACGGTTAGTTGCAGACTCACGGTTAGTTGCAGACTCAGAAGGCTGAGCGCCTGCGCCTCAAAGTCCTCTCATTTTCCAGCATGCATTGAGTTATCTTGTGAGTCTACGACTGCAATAAGCAATGGTAATCATCAATAATCACAACCATAGCCGTAAGGAGGGTGTTAATAAGGAGTCAGGAGGGTGTTGCCTGTTGTCAATCTCCACACACTGAAAGAAACTCCAGCCGGGCTGGGCTTGATCTGATAACACCTTCTGGACGACATATGCCGCCCCCCCGCCAAATGCATGGACATCGCTGCAGCTTTGAGATGCTGCTTGGGGGGAAGACCTTTAAGATTAGAGTCAGCTGTATGCACGCAGTCACTGGCAAAGCCTGTGAGTTTCACACAAGATTCGCATGCGATTTCGTAGATGGCCTGCTTCTCAATCTCAGGTGGGAGTGCAGTAAGTCCACCACCTGTCATGAAAAACAATGAGAACGATTGACGACGAGAAGTCGCGATTGGTTTGCTTTGTCCGCGGGCAATCTTCTGGCGTTCGCATCATGAAGACAAGTTTTCACAGTCTGCTGGTGGTGGTGGTGGTGGTGGTGGTGGTGGTGGTGGTTTCTGTGGTTGCTGCTGTCGTTGTTGCTGCTGCCACCGCTGCCACCGTTGTTGTCGATGTTCAAAACCTTTGCACAAATAGGAAAGGCCTGCATGCTGACCCAGCCTTGGCTGTGACCAAACTCAAGCATCCTCAGACCATGACTTGCATTGATTAACCTCAAACTAACCAGCTTGTGACTAATTACCTCTACAAGAATACGGCGCCGCTTACCGCTGTATCTAACTTTGAACGGTCTCTCTAGGTCCCCTCCCCATACGGACAATTCTGCCGGGGCCACGATTTTGCCTCTCAAAGGCTTTGACCTGTTGCTGGCACACGAAAGTTCCGATGAAGTTGACGTCATCTGTTTCCCAGCGTGCTGTTGAAGACATCCTGAAAGAGATTCTTCAAGTGATAAGTCAAGAAGCAAAAGTTGAATCATCAATTCTATCACTGGGTTACTTACAAAGTTGCCGGGATCCTTGTTTGGCTCGATCACACCAACAACGAGTGACCCTCCTCACCCCTCGACATCTCCATGACAGAAGGCCCCGACCTCTGCTACAATGGCCGGATGAAATCCTATCCAATCCCTGGGCGCGCACGGCAAATGCACACGTCCCGTGCCAAAGTGACTGAGAACCTAACCAGTGCCCGCAAGGACCTCCCACCCATGATGGACGGCCAAAAAAATAGCGAGAACAAGAGCTTGGAAGTCCTAGGTCCTATGCATCACAATACATCCTATTATATACATGACTACTGACTACTGTAGTGCTACAGTAGGAATTCATCCCCATCCCTTCAACCGCTTTGGTTGGGACATCAAAACGGACACCTGATGCATCAAGACGGATGGCCTCACCTCAAGAGAGCGCTTTCAGCCGTGAGCCAGGTGGGCAGGTGGGCCTCAACGCGGTGCCCAAGGTGGTGCCGCCGGGACTCCTCCGGGGGGACACACACCCAGTCAGACTCCATGTATGGCATATATTTACCTACATCGGGCTGGCTTCAGGGTGTGTGTGTATATATATATATCACACACATATATGTATATACGATGTAAAATATATACATACGATAATATACGCACGTCAGGTCAGTGAACCCTTATATACATATCCCTTACATGGAGTGTCTGGGATGCAGAACCAGGACATGGAGCCGGGGTTCGATGATGCCCCTCGAAACAACACATCTGTCCTTCCATGAAGTTGCAAGCTTTCTGTGGTGGACATGAGAGGGGTTGCCAACTAGTTGGGCCTCACCCCCTGCTTCTAAGGCCTCCACCAAAATCATGCACAGCCTCCGCGACCGAGTCAACGCCTGAGCCACTGTGGTGTGGAAAAGCTGCGGGAAACCACAAAGCATGTTCCCTCCTCTCTCCAAAAAATACTACGTGCAAGTGGGCACATCATATTTCTGTGGAGCTGGCCTCAACGCCATGGGGGCAGCAACAGTGACGCTGTTGTCAGGCTACATGCTACAGCGCTCTTTCCAGAAGGAAAATCACACCCGCCACATGACAGAATCCCTGGCATGGGCATCAACCACCTCCTTCCGCCGATGTTCACGGGCCGATCCCCAGTCCCCTCTGGTCCCCCCGGCCACGTTCAAGCGCCGCCAGTCCGACACGAAGCCCACGTCGCCGCCTCGGTGTAGCCGGGCTCGCCCGGTGGATCCAAAGAGCCTCAAGTTCTGACTGCAAAAACTGAATGCAGACTCTTGATAAATACACCCCCCAATTTGAATTGAACACGCTTCATATGGGGGGTGGTATTGATCAAGAGTTTACATTACAAGTACTAGGGAATACTAGGGAATGAGGGAGTGGATCCAAAGAAATCTCTAGACAGGGGGCGAAGCTTCCCTGATTCCCTACGAGTCGCACCAGTCGGAGTTTGTTTCTGGCATTTCAATACCTCTAAAATCCTCTGACTGAAAAGCTGATGAGAATCCGAACTGGAAGAACATGAGGTGAAATTGACATTTAAAATCCATCAAACTCTTAAATCAAAGGGTCGTCGACAAACGTGAAAAATGGCTCATTCATGTGGCACAACAGCTCGCAGTAATTACCCATCTCCAAAGCTCCATACCAAAGTAATGAGGGGCCCACGAGGATTGGCGCGCACCAGGCTCAAGATGATGACATCCTCAAAAGCTTTGGATGAAGATTCAAGGTCCATAAGCATGGGTCTGATGAACATACGCTGCTAAATCAGAACCTCTGCAAATCTGAAAATGTATTTTAAAAAAACTGCTAGAAGTTCCCCTTTCAAGAAGTCGTTGAGTCAACTTAGATCAATGAACATTGCAATTTGGTTGCAAAAATATGGTAGCAGCACCATTGCAGTTCTCTTCAGGTCAATCCTTCTGACAGCCCTGAAAGGCGTCCACCGAAGAGACTTGGACCTCAGAACTGGCCCAGTGCTTGGTGGGCTCATGACTAGCGCTTTCACCGAACTCACGCCTACCATCCCAGAAGGCCCTTGGACTGCTCTGCATCTGCATGTCTTCCGACTCCGAACATGACCAGGTCGATGAAGCTTGTGTTCACATCCCAGTCATTTGAAAAGGATCGGACCACTGAAAGCAACGAAACAGGTCACTGGCGCTCGGCCAAATGAAGGCCCTGGCTGCATCTCTCGCTTGAGGTGGAAGGGCCTTAGTGGAAGTGGCTAGTTTGATGCAAATAGCTGAAATGGGCATCAACTACTTTGAGGTCTCTGTGGTATCGGAGTGAGGGCGGAAGTTCCAGGTAGCAAGTTTGAAGTACAAATGAAGTAAGTAAGGCATTGGATTCCTGGATGGCATTGGTATCTCAGTATGAATGAGAGAATAGGTGAATAGGCAAAGAATGCCATGGAGCTTCCACAACCCTAAGAATTAATTGGAGTGATGCGCCCACGCAATGTGCACCAACGTGTTGTTCAAGGTGAAAGCATGGGTCATGCAGCTGTGCGACTGCCACAACACGCATGGACATGTAAATTAGCATATATAGATCATCCGCCACTAGGGTAGCCGACCCCACAAAAAGAACCACCAACGATTGCATGCGCAAATCCAATCAACAAATGCACAAGAATTGCAAGCATGGATATAACATAATAAAACTACATAATGATCATAATGATATAACTGTGCGTGACGTGTATGTATTTTTGATTCTGACTTGTCCAAGAATCATATCCCCACCAGGGAACCGAGCGTTTCGGATGTCCGCCACCTGCGCGGACCGTGGGGTATCCTTTCAACAAAGGACGCCGCCGGAGGGGATGGCGCCTCACTTGCGCACGCAACATTATAGCTCACCTGTACACACACGATGTTGATGTTTTGCAAAAAGTAACTCACCTGCGCACACAGGATGAGCTCACCTGTGCACACATCGAATTAAACCAATACAAAACCGTGCCTGGTACCACAAACTCACCTAGCACAGAGATTTAGCTCACCTGCGCACACACAAAGTGAGTTGATGTGACGTGTGCCTGACATGTTGTTAATGCCACTCGTGGCCTCGGAATCCCAACCAATCGATCGCCGGCAGCAAGTAGCATTGCGGGGGAGTCTTCGCTCCCAGTGGTCGTTGACAGTGTCTTGCAAGGCTTTACGAGAACTTGGCTGAATCCGAAGCTAAACCCAAAGGCATCCAAACTCCAAGAAGCAACTATCTAAACATCGATGTAGCCCGGCCAAAAACCACCGGCGGCCATCTCGCCGACCGTGACCTGCCGTAGCCACACACGAACGGCGCCCGAACGGCCGCCGGCCGTTCCAAGGCCTGTGCCGCATAGGGGCTAATCACACCCACCTCGTCGCCCTTCAATCCTTGGCCGAGCTCAGGCCGGATCTTCAGGTGTCACCGGATCTGTCATTGAAAGCACACCAAAAGGCGTGCCGAAGAACCAAGTCTTTGGAAGAATTCTGAAGAACATTTCCTCAACTGGGGTGCTTTGCATCACCCTAGGGACCCCCAAAACATAGACCGTCGTATGTGTCATAGATCTTGCACAACATCCATCATGGTCCATCTCCTCTTCGGCCGTTTCTCCGCATGCTGGGTGCCCGAACTCCCCCACACCTTCACCATCTCCCTCGGACCAAATCAAGCAGAAGGTGTCAGATCGGCGGGGAATTCTCCAAGAACTCACGCCCCGTCCCACCCGCAATAGAAAACGTCCCCAAACCCTGGTGTGCCAAAGGGGACCTTCTTTGGGATGCATCTCATTTCAACTTCCACGTCGACGTCAGTTTGGAGAGCTTAAACTCCTCTTGTCGTTGGTCTCGGGGCACTTTTCTGACCTCAGCTCCCTCTGTGAGCGACCAGCTTTCTGCACACAAACAAGGCAGGCGCAGGCGGGATCACCCCCGTCAGCTGAAAATGGGTGAATTCCTACGTATGATTCCATAGTCGTGGGAGTTATGGTTTCCGAGTTCCAGGAAGGTCCAGGTACTGACTTGAACATACTTGAACTAGAAGACCCAGGCATTTGTTGGCATCAGGTGTACCCTCTCTGGAACTAACATGGAAGTGTTTCAAGCCGCCTGCTTTGGTATGCGGAAAAATGGTCTTCCTCTCGGCCATTTTCCATTCACTTCCATGTTAGTTCCCGGAGGTGTACCCCTCAGTTGAGCCGATCGTTGCCGGTTCTAATCGGCTCGGTTTGCGAGTGAGCTGAGTGCCAACTGAACCAGCCACGCTGCGCCTCAGATTGCTGGGAGTGGCCTGGGAGACCCCAGCAATAGTAACGATATGACGCACAGGCGCAATGAATAATTAAGTATCTTGACCTTTGAGTATATATGTATAAGTATCTTGACCTTTGAGTATATATATGTACATATGCACATGTATGCACATAATCGTCATATGCACATATCCGAAGGCCCTGCCAAGCCATCACCATCAACCTGCACTAAAGTCACTAAAGTATAAATGCGACTTCACACAGCTCCGGAGTGATGTGCTTTGCGGCAGCTGGCTTCTGTCGATTGCTGTCTACTCTTTTTATGGAACTGTCGCTTCCTGCACAATCTTGGAACTATGAGAATCATTGAGAATCCACACTTGTCATTCGATGCAATTATAGTGGATCCCTGTGCATGGTAGTCGGGTTCGGGCAGGAGATTGAGAGTTTCACCATCCAACATTTGGCAGCTTTCGCAATCCTAGGGCGTTGGCAAGCAGCTTCATCCACGTTTCTCTTCGAAGAACCTCGCGATTGCTCTCTGGCCTGGTTCAGAGCGCGAGCTTGATGCCTTCTTCCACTTCACTCAATGCAAACTACTCGATCTTCAATGGCAGCCCCACTACATGGCGGGTACATCCTGCGAATCATAGTGCTAAGATCCATAGCCTAGCATGTGTTCAGGGAACGCGATACAGAAAATGATGCCATCTGCAGTAATATTGCAACAACTATATCTCGTTTATTATTAAAACCAATTCATTTTCATTATATCAATACCTATAGAGATGGGGAAGGCCCTTCGGTTCAGAGATGTCCAAAAAAACACAAGATCAACAAGAGATGCTGCTGACAAATGACAAACCCACTGACTCTCAGCTATAGCTATGCGCCCTTTTCATCGAAAAGATCTTCTCTGTGCAGCAGAGATGCTTTGCCGGCACGCCCCGAGCGCGACCGCAGAGGCACTGAAACTAGGGATCCAATGTATTCGATAGATCAAAGGTGTCCCGGGCGGGGTAAAATGATGCGGAAAACAGGGAAAACAGGTTCACGGAGTCAACAGGGTGGCGATTGCGATTGAACTGGGCCCAACATCTAACCCCCATGCGAAAGGAGATCTGAACCCCGATGCGATGCTTAGCGATTCCTGGAGCATCGAGAATCGTCACTTCTCAGGTCTCAAATCGTAATGTAGACTAGCCGGTCTCACAACTAGTGGCAAACGTCCACGTTTCTGGTGCAAGGCTTTGTGAAAGGACACATGAATCCATTCAAGACCCATCCATGCATGGGTCTTCGTGGATCTGTGCTGATCCCTGACTCCACAGGCTTTAAAAAGGTTACAGTATGTTACACTCCCTGAAATCATCATGGAAGTAGAAAATGGCCCCTTGGATGACCTTTCTCCTCTACAAACGGTGGTGAACTCAACTTCCATGTTAGTTCCAGGGAGTGTAATGAGCACTATTCCTATCATCTTAGATGCATTGATCGGATGCTGACAAAGCCATTGTCTTCTTCCCTAGTATGCCCTCGCCAGCTACTCACCCGCCAGCTACTCACCCGCAGGGAGCTAGCGGGTGGAACACGGGTTCACATGAGCGGTCAATTACAGAGGTGAGTTTTGCTGAAAAGCCTGCATCAGGTATTCTAATATGTATTCATATGCCATATACAATAAGCATAAATATGCAATTAATTCTAGCATGCACATATTATATAACATGTATTAATGGCATTTCTTTTGGGACCTCATCAGGCCTCCGCCGGTCCAGGAACCCGGCAAGGGACCGTGGCAGCTCGAACGAGTCTCAAATAGTCTCAAAGTTCTCCGACAAATAATACGAAATGATAAGAATATCAAATACTGTACCAGCCAGACTTTGGGATTCAGTTGGGGGTCCCAACACTGGGGCTTCCAGCCCACCCAAAAGAACGAAAAATCTAATATAATCTATGAATCTGACAACCACATGCTTCTGCCAGGCACGCAGAAGAAGAACTTTGCTCGCGTGCTTAGACTGGCCTTGTGACACCAGACCATGAGTTCCTAAAAACTCTTCAACAAAAACATGTGTTGGTCGTGTTGCAGGGTTGCGCATGTCTCCGGCTGGGCCGCCGCCTTTCCAACCAACCGCCCAGGCCCCAACGGCGGGCCCCGAACCGGGAAATCGGAACCGGACTGCTCGTTCTGCCCACGTCCGACGGGGAAGTCAGTAACGTCTTCCGGAGCGAAGCCGAACTGGAGAACTTCAAAGGGCACACAGGAGGCCAAGTCATCGACACGTGTCATAGTGTCATAACAACGAAAAATCTTCAGATTTGAGACAGATGGAAGGACAATTGTCTATACTCATCTATGATGACATGTTGTGAGGGTGATAATTCGGCCTGGCTGGGAGCACCTATATATCCCCTTGAGGTTCTTTGCTTTCACCCCTTCAAGAGATGATTTAGCTTCGACACCATGTGGAACCGACACCATGGGAGCTTCAGAACATATATAGTGCGCTCGGATGGCCCCGGAAAGAGAATCAAACACTTAAAAAAGTCAACCCGCGGTATCTGATGTAAATGAAAAATACGGTTACTACACTAAGATATGCGGATTTTAAAATAGCCAAACAGGTATTTTAGTGTACCTCCATGAAGGTACATGTAAATGAATGTCCAATGATATGTAACTGTATATAAATGTCCACGATGTTGATTGGAGGGGGCGAAGCATATACCCAAACATACCCGTCACATGAGATGACCCACTTGGTCATCTACATTGGCCTGGCCTGGTGTGGTGGGCATGGACAGGTCATGTTCATCTCAGGACCCGTCGGACACCGCACTTCTGAAGAATTGAGCGACGGCACCCGAAAAGATGTCCTTCTGTGGACTGAGACAGTCATTGACTCAATGAACTTCCTTTTTTCTGGTAGGTTCATCACAAAGTTCGTGGCATTCTCCTTGCTTGGTCGCCGACTTCTGGGGCCCCACTCCAAGCTGATTTCGCTCCGGTGAGTCGACTCCGGGCGACAGCAGGGTGTCCGCTGCGCGCTGAGCCGGCAGCTTGTTCGGCACTTGGGCCACCGGCCCAAAGCAATTTCAGGTGAGATGTGGCACACCGCAGCACTTGCGGCTTGGTGCGGGCGATGGAGCGCCACGCTGGCATAACGAAGGATTGCTCGTGGCAGGGTTACCCGGGGATGGTGAGCTGGGTGATTGCTGCCATCGTCCCTTAAGGGAGTACATGCTCATAAGCCAGGAGATGATCAAACAAATCCAAAAGAAACATGGTCAAACAGTGTGAAACTGCATGCCTCGAACACACGTGAACACTGCGGCCCATCTCCCAGAAAGCCTTGGCCGAAGTCTATGTAACGTGAAACGGGATGCTACGGATGTCCCGTGCGGCGTCCAATCCTCCGGCATTCCAAAGGTGGACGCAGGGCCGGGCCATGGATTCGCTGGAAGGAATGAATCCGTGTTCACCTGAAAAGAGTACTCGGACGTAAGGCCTACAGCATAGGCCTAGTAGCCATGAAAGATTAACAAAAAGACAGAATGACCAAATTTGCTGTCTTAAATTGTTACTAGGAGAATGCTTGTTCGGTAAAAGCCATCAAATCAAGGGTGGTTGGAATCGTAGGTTCTTAGGGTGATGAATGATTGAAGTCCTAGCAGGCACCGACCAAGCTCGTTCTTGAAGAACTTGGCGATGATGACTCCAATCCCACCACTTCCTTCAATTTGACCTGTTCCAGCGGACCCCTTCTTTTTCCGAGAAAAATTGCTTCAAGCGCCACGGGAGGAGTTGACCTTCTTCACCGAAGTGGAGCTGTTCTCACGCCTCGGAAGCGGTCTCCGGCTCTTTCCCCGGTCACGAGTGGTGAACGAGCTGCCCCCAGGGGGCACGCGCGGGAGGACTGATGCATCCTTCTCCCCAAGATCTCCAGGACTCCAGATTGTCACATACCCCCCACGCAACCGCCCTCCAGAAGGATTTTGGGTGCTTAGAAGAAGCCCCATCATCTGTGAACAACGGGGGAGGGTCGGTTTCTCCAAACGGCGGGAAGGTCACAAGGCTTGGGGGCAAGCTGTGTGATTGATGTAGAGGAGTCTGAAGTGATGAATGTGTGAGTTCCTGCAATCATTCTGAAAGCAGTCAGGTGGGGAAGAAGCCCCACAGTGAAAAGCATGGTTTTTTAGTCAAGTGATCGTTGGCATGCCTCTTCATTGCGTTCAATCAGGGCTCTAGTCCATCCCCACCAGTCAGAATGTGTGCAGGATTTTGCAAGACAAATTGAGTGGGTCACTGCATACGAAAAAACGCCGAACTCACGACCCACCACTCGCGCTGGACAAAAGCGACCGAAATCGGCCGTCCAAGAGGCATCAAGACCTTTCGGAGGCCAAAATCCCATTCTCCAGCCTGCACCCGGAAAACGCTCACTGAAACAAAGCCCCCAGGTGCAGCCTTGGCAGAACTGTTTGGGATGCCCAATCATCTGTGATCCTCCCCAGTGTTTCCAGTTTCGCACTTTCGCAGAAAATGCTTCACTACCCAGCCTCTGTCTGCCCTTGCTCAGATGTCATGTATCCCCAACCTTGGGAGACGTCTGCGGACCGGACACGCACAAACGTCAAGAATCGCATGGAGCTGTGAAAGGTCTTCTCTGGAAATGCTCTTCTAGAAGGTCTGCCAGGGGATCTGCCTTGTGACGGGCTAGGTGCAAAACTACTTGTTGCTTGTATCCCATACCCCGATACCACGACGCATACAGAATCGTTGCCTCACTTCGGTCAACTCGTTGGACCTTCTGCATTCTGCATCAACATAACCAAAAGCATGGCCGACCCCTTTTGCGCGTCAAAGACTAAACTATTTAAACATGCCGCTTTGGTCATGATTTGTTTAACAAAATGCTGGCTATGACATACGGCTATGACGTCACAGAGTAGTAAGCCCTATGCCTCACCTGAAATGACATGTCCTTCAGCAGAACGTAAATCAGTACCAGTCTAATCTGTATACGTGTATATAAGGTCTGTAGGGGCCACGCCGTTTTGCTTTCCACCCTTCCATTGTCCTTCGAAGCATTGGCCGCTCGGCCACCTGAATCTTCCACAGCCCTCCTGAGCAAGACGATGGCGAACAAATGCTGAGGTGTTCCAGTGGATTCCGCTTGACCTCCTTTACACTCCCGAAAACTCACATGGACCCTGAGAATGGCACCCTCCAAGACTGTTTTCCTCTACAAACCCGTGGTTTTCGGGGTCTATATATGTGAGTTTTCAGTGGAGTATTTTTTGCACATCACCTCTCCAATCTCGTCACCCTTTCGCAAACGAATTTGCACAAAGCCTGTGGCCCCCTTTTCTTCTCCTGTCCGCTAACAATTCCACAACCTCCAGGTCTAATTATCCTCATGTCATCCTCATGTCCCTTCCATGTGAGGATCAATGCCGCATGGTGGAAATTATATTTCATGGGCATTGAGTAGACTACAGTATTTAAAACAGTGAGATCGGGAATGGCTGCTTCTGAT